AGAATTTAAGTGAGAGAGAATTGATCATGTATCCAGGAGCAGAAATAGGTGTGAAACTAGGATGAGTTTTACATCCCCGATAGGGAGAAAGGCGGTCGAGTGGCCGTCTAGATTGAGGATTGTGAGTTGGGAGTTCGGAACACGTTCCAACATTTGATGCACGCCTTTCCTTGGCATTGGATAGCAGGTTTCGGGGACCAGGTTAGAGCTCCAGTTATTACTCGAGTTCAGTTGAATGTTAGGTCGAGCGCGTGTTCGATACAGTATGGAAAGTACTGTAAGACTTCGGGAGTAGCCATAACATTCATTAGTGGTCAGGTAGTGTGGGAAGTGTTGTAAGCCTGTGAGTGTAGCCATAGTATTCACGAGGTTGGCAGATAGTGCTAGAGTGTTGTAAGTCTGCGGGTCTAGCCGTAGCATTCACGAGGTTGGCAGATAGTTTTAGAGTGTTGTAAGTCTGTGGGTGTAGCCGTAGCATTTACAAGGTTGACAGATAGTGCTAGAGTGTTGTAAGTCTGCGGTTGTAGCCGTAGCATTCACAAGGTTGGCAGATAGTGCTAGAGTGTTGTGAGACTGCGAGTGTAGTCGTAACATTCACCACCAGTTCAGGTGCAGCAGTGAGGATATGAAAATCCACAGATTAGGTTACGGAATTACCCAGATGGGTAGATTTGGTTGAGCCAGCGATACGAATGTAGGAACGCCACTATAGTTATGAGATCAAGGAAGCAATTGCTTAAAGTCGTTTGTGATATAAGTCTACCATTGGTCATGTACCAATCACTTTTGGCCTTGGATTTGGTGACGTCAGTACTCGACGTATGGACCCCAATCAGTTAGATCAGAAGGTCGCTAGAGCCACAGTGGCATGACAACTAGTGGCAACTATCGACAGAGAAGGATTTCGTTCGGAAATCGTGTGAGGCGACTATGTGGGAGTCCTTTGGCTCCGCAACCGGGCCAGAACCCAGTATTTTTCATGGTTGGCGAACGAATTGAGACCAGGGAGGTCTCGGTAGATTTTGGAAAGCAACAATGTGGTAACATACTGCTTTAGGCAGTTCAGTGTTTCGGGCAGTTTTTGGGTCTCGGGCAATATTAGTGTTTCAGGTTTGCAGGTACCGATGAAGAAACTGATTGATTAGGAAGTGATAAGTCACTCACAACAGGATTATCTGAGCCTTGGCCAAGTATAAGTGATCTGCAGGGATAAGTAGATTTGTGACGCTGTTTTTCAATGGGAACCTTAAGTTATCAGAAGTTGAGTAGTTAGTTGAGAGACAAGTGGACTGGATTCAACGATAATGATTCAGTATGGGTGGTTTGTCAGGGAGTCAGACCATCTCGAGACTGCAGATTTAGGTAGAGTAAATTTGATGGTTGCAAGGAATTAATTCATCTGTGGATTTTAGGTCCTTGCAAAGGCTGGTCACGGTTACCCTGGGAAGGCTAGGGTGTGCCCAGGATTGTGGCCATGTTACTTGAGTGGTTGGCGTGTAAGGGATGGCAAGGAATGATTTCGATGACAAAATCTAATTGAAGTGGGGGAGAGTTGTAACACCCCGATTATTAAATAAATAAAATAGATAAAATTAATATGAATAGTAGCCCTAAAATCCATAATATTTAGTGGGGTGTTGGTTTTAGGGAGCCAAATGTTATAATCTGGATTATTCGGGGGTTAAAGTGTAAATACGAGATTTGTTTTGGAAAGATTCTTAGAAGACAGGGGGTATTTGGTAACAAAAGGACTTCAGTTGAAAATAATTTGTAGAGGGAGGGGCTGTTTGGTAAAATATTGGACTTGATTTGAAAGTAATTTCAGAAGGCAGGGTATAAATAGTAAATTATAGACTTGGTTTGAAAAGATGTTTATGGGGAGGGACCATTTCTGCCATTATGGAATAAATTTTAAAAAGTGTCGGGTATTTAACTGTTCCATAACCCTAACCCTAGGAACCATATCAACCGCCACCTTATGTCTCCCACCACCGTCCACCACCCTCCTTCTCCACCGCCGCCGCCGCCATCCATGTAACCCGTTTTTCCGATTAGCTAGCGGCCGCCAAACGAGCACCGGAATTCCTCCGTTCTTATTCTTCTCCTTCTTCAACCGTCACCTCCCCTGCTGCCGTCGGTGAAGTCGTGAACGTCCGGAGAAACCCCACCAAGAACGAAGACGGAGTTGTGACCGGCGAAACATGAGTCGTGCGCGATCGGAATGCTCACAGTGAGGCTATCTTTCATCTCTTTCATTCCATTTAGTTGTATGGGGCTGTAATTGCCGTTTTGGCCGCCGCTGCCGTTGGTCGCCATTTATGTGGCATTTCGACGATGTCCTGCCACCTTGTAGGTCGCTGAATACATGTGTGTTCGCCTTTAAGGGCTGCTTTAGGAGCTAATAGTGAAGTATGTGCGTTATTTTGGGCAGGGAATCAAGATAACCCGCCACCACCACCACCATGAGGTGGTGGCTGTCATCTCCAACCACCATATGCCTACACAAGTTTGTTGATTGAGTGCATAACCCGGTGTTTCTGTGTTCCAGTCGTGTGCATGTGTGTTATTGCTGAACAAAAAAACTCAAGGAAAACCACCATTGCTACCATGGTGGCTACCGCCGTTTGCCGCCGCTGCTGCCCGTCGTCTCGTGCCATCGCCGCCGTCGTACCCCACTAGGTTGGTGGTTGGATTCATGTTGCGATCAGAAAGAGTGTATTGTGTGTGGTGTTTCTTGGCCGAATTTCATGAGAAAAACCACCACCACCACCGTGGGGTGGTGGTTGCCACCTCCAACCACCGCCTGCCGCCACAAGCGTGGCTGGGTGTGTGTGTATGTGTTAATTGTGTATGTGCGTTTATTTGGATATTGTGTTGTAACATTGTATTTGATCGGAATAATTAAGGAAAATCCGTCCCCACCACCATGAGTTGCCATTGACCACCACTACACGAGGTGCTAGTGGGTGGTGCCCAACTTAATTAACAATTAATTAACCTAAAAAATTAACTAATGGGCTAATTGGATCTCGATTGAGTTGGAAACCCTAATTAGGGTTTAGAAAACCCTAATTTTGGTTTTATTGGTTTGGACTTATCGGGACCCGCGTTTTGGGCCATTAGAATTGAATTGTGAATTACACCCGATCACACCATATGATTTATCTAGTAGAGAGATGGACTTAATGGATTAATTCCTTAATGGGTTAAGTGAGAAACACTTAACCCTAATCGTCATTTTATGTAAAAAACCTAATTTTTCTTGGGCCTTCCTATTGGGCTTTGGTGATTGGGCTATTGATGGGCCATCCAAGAACAAGCATATGGACTAGAATATTTGGATGGGCTTTAGGGTAAGGCCCATGTGAGGGTTTGGGCCCAATTTGGAAAATTGGGCCATAGATGGGCCATAATGATCATGAGAGGTTGGACCATTGGAATGCCAAATGTTTGGACTGGAATAAATGGTTGGGCCTTAGGGTAAGACCATGTTAAGGTTTGGGCCCAATTTGGAAAAATGGGCCATATGTTGGGTTTTGATTCATAGTTTGACTTTTAGGCCTTGGATTGGGCCTTGAGCTTGAATCAAGCTAAGAGGAGGGTAAAGTAGCCTTTTAGCCCAAGCATGGACTTTTGGATATATGTTGGAACCCAATTACTGATTGGGTGTTATTTTGATGATTGATAGTTCTGGAATCTATCATCCAACAACTAGAGTTTTGTCTGCGGGACTTCAACAGTGCGAGGTGAGTTACCTTCCAGTAGAAGTGGGTCGAAGGCACCAATGCTGACCCACTAGTAGTTGATTATAGTTAAGATAATTGTCTGTGTGATAATTGTCTGGTATGCCATTATCTGTTATGAGTTATGTGTTAGTATGCTATTATATTATGTGATAGTAGTAGGAGGGGTGGATAGACCCCAATATCTGTTGTAAGGACCGACCGGGTAGGTCGGGCACCCAAATATGCCTAACAGTATGTTATGCTATGATATTATGTGATAGTGCTTGGAGGGGTGGATAGACCCCAATATCGGTTGTAAGGACCGTCAGGGTAGGTTGGGCACCTAGATGGGGGAACTCACTAAGATTCGTGCTTACGGTTTTCCGTTTTGGTTTCAGGTACTTCGTTTTCAAAGGAAAGGAGCCGACGATCGCAACGCATCACACTATGTTTTCTGCACATGAGATCTTTGGGATTACACTCTGATATTGGTTTTGACATGGGATGTTTTTATACTGTTTGTTTTATGAATTATTAAACTAAAAATGAAATTTTTGGTCTTAAATTTTGGGATGTTACATTAGTGTAAGTTAGAAACTAAATCGTGTATGATGTAATGTAACCTCGAAACCCAGATCAATGAAATTGTTTTAACTTTATCTATGTACTATTTCCTTATTGTATTAGATGTCAAGGCAACATGTAGGACGCAAATTTGATAGTTATTCATTTGTAGTTGTATTTGAAGGAAAAGTTTCTTTGTTTGATATGTAGTGTTGGGACCAAATTGTCAAATGTTGTGAAATTCTAAATATGGAAAAAGAAAGGGACAACAGTCTCCTCAACCCCCACGACTGCACAACACAATCAAATAACCTAATTTGCACATGGATAGAAACTTCCAAAAAGGGAATAAAAGCAAAAGGCACGTTTGAATTGAATACCAATGTTTGTAATATGTATATTTACCAAAGCTGCTAAATATTGTGTGACATCTGGATATACGTCCAATAATATAAAAGGGACAAAAATAATTTTAAGTCAATATAAAATTAGTTAATATTTAACCAGATATGGGACAACTTTGGTACATTAAAGGGTAATTCTAGAAATATTTTTTACCACCATTCCAACTAAATAGTTGAAAGACAACCATGAAAGGATATTGCATTCATTGTTTAAAAACAAACCATAAGTAAAAATTACATTCCCCTACCCATGAAAACCTTTTACCAAATTACATAAATACCACTGCCTACAAAAAGTACACATGTACTAATCCAATTCCATAGCCTTTGCTGCACTACAACCTTCACCTTCAATTCTTTTTGCGAGCTTCATTTTAAGGATTCTTTCAGACTTCTTCCTCTTCCTTGGTTGCTCTACTTTACCAACCTGCACTTCATCTTCATTAACGTTGACATCTTGATTAGCTTCATCACCCATAATAACATCTTCCCCACCCCTTTCCATATTCAATAACTCATGTGTTTCTCACAAATATTCTTTTCTCAACATTAGTTTTAGGTGGCCTTTCAACTTGAGGACAAGTGGTATTGTTGTGTCCTCTCTGTTTGCATAAACCACAACATACAAGTTTTCCTGCTTTTGATACAGTGTGTCTTCTAGTCCTTTCAAAAGAATCTATTCTTCTCTTCATGGTTGGTCTTCATGGCATCCTTCTTTTTATTGGGGGCAAAGGAGGGTTGTGTTCTGTAGGAGGACACATGTTGCTTCCATTCATTCCATGTATGGGTTGTTTATAAGAATTATGGTAGAAGGCTGCCTTGTACATTGGTTCTATATATGGTGCATCATGCTTGGAGTTTAAGAATGATAATGTTGCAACTGAATGCATACACCCATACCCATTTAATTGCCACAACCTGCATATGCATTCCTTCTTCGACACATCAACAACATAAGACTGGTCCATGTTTCTTGTTTCAAACTTCATCACCCCACAAGAAATAACTTTCCAAGACCTAAAGTCATGAAAAACAAATCATTACATATGCCAAATATTTAATTATTCATTTAGTTGTATATTTACATACATTTGCTTAATTTATAACAGATTCAACTTGTCTTTGATGTTTGGACATACATTGTAACGATTCCATCCTTGTCCCTTAACTTGCATGCTCACCATCCTTTGCATGACATAAATACTAATATTCTAACATACTGATAATGAGTTTCTTTCCAGCATCCATTATAACACTATTAATGTAACGTCCCATTTTAACCCATTTTCACATAAAAAAAATTCATTTTTAATTAAGGTAAAACTGCTTGTTCTTAGAATACAAGTTAATAAAACCATTTGTTTCAAGGTACATTGTTTAAAATAAAAGTATTATAGTGAACGAAGAATCTTCATTGCTGCTGATCAATGAGTACAGTCACGCCTTCGCCTTCCCACAATAACCGATGATACCTGAAAACAGTAATAGTTGGTTATGCATGAAGCTTAGTGGGTTCCTCCAAAATACCACACACCACAAAACATATATACAACATGCATATTGGGTTTGTTAGCACGTTGCCTCAACCCAACCGCTTCTCAGGTTGGTTGGCCTGCTGTCTCAACCCAACCGCTCCTCTCAAGCCACCGTGCCTACGAGTTACAGCCGGCTCGCACCTAGTATCTTGGCCTACCGCACACAGTAGGACCACCTCAACTTCACCCGCTATAATATGTCGACATATAGACAATCAAGGAATCAAGTAGGCACATAAATACAGGAAACTACCAAACATACAGCTCAGTACCGCCTACTAGACCCCTCATATCACACTCCTTCGCTATCTGCTAATCTCCATGGAATGCATACTCATAAGTAAATAAAGGTGAGATAGTTATCCGAATAGATGATCCTACTCTAGAGCCATAATCAAACAAGTAACATGCAAGAAATCCTAGATCAAGAGTTCTCGGGCTAACCTACATGGATACATACGACCCATAGGGCATTCCACTAGACGATAACCAGCCTATTGGTACTCTAACTAGCATACCACCACTGTTGCATCCTAACACATAAGGATAAAATATATCTAACAGCTCACTACAGCGCAACAACATCCTACACACAAGGATACATAACCAAATCTAGTGGGCTGGACTTGGTGCCTTTGACCCACGGTATAGTGAGGAAAACTCACCTGAATCGAAGAACCCATAAACAATGCGACACGCTCCCCTTTCTGCACTGCTTGCTCCAACGAAACTTCTAGCACCAAAACATGGTAGAATCTTAATCAACAACCCAAATCCTTCAATTTTGACTCAAAGTCAAACTTGTCAAAAAGTCAATGGTCGATGGTCAAAAAATGTCAGCGGTCAACATGTCAACTGATCCTCACGACGTGACAATCTATTGGTTACGTCGTGACCAACTAAAGGATAAAACAGTTGCGAATATTTGATCCTCACGACGTGATACGCATCTTCTCATGTCGTGAGAATTGAATAGAAGGAAACTTAATAAGTTAAGCCTTCAATCCATTAATCCATGAACCCATCTCCTCCAAAATGCTTCCTTACACCTTAAAAGCCATAAAAATCGATGCCTTAAGGTATTGCATGTCCAATGCAAGACTTGACCTCAAATTAGGTTATTTATGAAGAAAAGGAGTTCAAACTTCAACGATGAGCTAAAACATTAGCCAAACTTCAGATCTACTACATATAATCACCAAGGGACTCTAAGGACCCATAAAGTTGCCAACTTTATGGAATCCCATCACCCTAGCTAACCCAAAAATTGATAATAATGCATAAAACTCTACATCTAGCATCAAGAAACCATAAAGCACGAAGCTTGAATACTCACAATGGTCCAGAGAAGTTGATAGAGCATGGTATTGGGGCTTGCAAGCTACTCCAATACTCCAAAGATGATTCATTCACCTTCAAATCTCCAATACACCACCAAATGCTCAAGGACTCAAGGGTGGGGATAGGGTTTCTTTTGAAATGAAGGGAGGCTGAAGAAGATACCCTAGGTTATGAGATAAGTTCCTTAAATATGGAGAGAACCCTAAAAATATGTGGGCTTGGGATGCAACCAGCCTCACGACGTGAGCATCATAATGTCACATTGTGACTCTTATTTCCACCTGTTACATTGTGACCTCCTCATGGTCACGTTATGGCACCCTATCTTTCCTAAAAGTGGATACCTTTGATTCCTTGAGGCCCTAAACCAATCCGTCTTGGAAACTGGGTGTTACAATTAAAGCTTTATGAGTATCCATTCTTTGTAGATTCACAAGAGGCATGATCAACTTTGAAGCAATCCCAAGACCATGTGGTAATATACCTCTCCATAAGATGAACAAAGGAATCATGATTTATTTCTTGAATCTTGTTGATGGCTGCATTGAAATGTTCTTCAATAGTTGCTTTACTGCCCCGCCAGAAAATGTTCTCAAATTGTGCTCCAGGAAATTTCTTTCTAATGTTGGCATATATATGCCTTGCATACTGCCTATGTTCTGTTACTGGTAAGACCTCCTTTACTACCTCAACCAATCCATACATGTATATAATCATATAATAAAGTTAACTTGACAGACCATGTATTTTAATACACTAAGAAAATGTACCATACCTTGTGTTGATAAGATATTAGCACAAGCCCAATTATGTGGCATGTAGTTGCTATTTAATCAAGTAATGAAACGAGATCAGAAACAAAATGAATTAAGAACACACAGAGTAAATATAATATAGTTTCAGCTATATTACGCTTTCAAGATACAAAGAGTATTCAGACAGAAGAGTAGCAAAAGTTCTATCTATCTTATGTATCCTTCCCTATTTATAGGAAAAATAGAAAGCACACAAAAAAATACAAAGGGCTAAAACGTTACAGCTTTGAAATAACTATGCCTTTGTAATAACATTACATAAATATCAAACACAAAATAACCTTCAAAACCTTACAACACACTTCGACACTTACAATCTCCCCCTTTGTTAGTAGTGTCGAAATCAGGTTATCAAAACTTGAGCAGCCATATGCAGTGTTCTTCTTATCTCCGCATACCAATTCATTACTTTCTTCAACTCTGCTTTATCCCCATCATTATTCTTCTTACAACTATTGATACACACAATTAAGTTTGTATATTGAGCAGTTGTATATCTTTCAACATCACATGACTGGAATAAAAACTTCATTGACTTTCCCTTTATGCTTTTCCCATTGAAAACGATCCCCAATGGCTTCAAACATATCTCCCCATCTACATATTTCTTTAGATCAACTTGACTCTTCAACACAGACTGAGGAACATTAATTTATTTTCCCATTAAAAAAGCTAATTCCACATCTGTCAATGCTAGACAATCATAGTAATTGTCTATGAAAAGTTTGATATGAACTAACCCCAAATGTAACACATCTTTACTTGTTCCTTGAAGTTTCGAAGCATCCATGTTTTTGAGAATATTCACAACTTGAATAAGGTCATTCAAATTCATTAATGGAAAATCAGCAATTGAGAAGTCGAAAGTAACATTGTTTTCCCTCACAACGTGGTATCGAAAATTTTGCAACATATTCTCGAATAGCACATCCTTTGTTATGCCCAACACTCGAACAATCTTAGCAAGTGACCAAACCTCATCCTGTTCCTTTCCCAGCACATCATGGAATCTCAGCTTCATATGAATAAAATCATCTTTATCCTTGATATGATCAACAATTTTATACTGAGCTGTAGGAAACATCATCTCATTGACAGGAAAATCAAGCTGATTCATGTCAGAATTCTCTATGGGATAACTCTTTCTCGGTTTCTTTTCAAACTCATACATTTCATTGTAAGCCACTCTATCTTCGATATTCTCATAACTGTAGCTTCTTTGGATCACCTTTGTTCAAAGTAGGAGGATCATCTTTACGAAGCCTCGAGATACTTTCAATTTGACACTGCTTTTCCATTTGTGCTTCGATTTCAGCTTTTCTTTCTTCATTTGATTTTTCTACAGCAACCTCTTTTCCTTTCCCTTTATCAGTTTCAGTTTGCTTGGGTTTTGAAGAACTCCCTTCACCTGTAGACCCAATTACAATGCCTTTAACAATCGGCCTTGTAGTTGTTGCAGTTGCCATCACCGGTTCAACAATCTAAATTGTTGGTTTTAGATTTTGAGTTGTTAAGATTTTTCCAGCAACCTTCAATTCTCCATCACTTTTCCCAGAACCACCTTCTCCTTTACCAACAATCTTCCTTTCTCCCCATTGCACCCCTGTGACAATAGGTGGGGCATTCGTTGGTAAGAGATTGATCAACTTAGATAATGGGGCCAACTCGTTTTGAATGGTAGTTTCGAATGAACGAAACTTCTGAGTTAACAACTCAGGAGTTAAGAGAGATGAAGACCCAGACTTCAAAACCAATTCTTTCAATTCACTGAGCATGACATCAAGCTTCCCAAAACTTTTAATATCACCGATTGCTTTTTCGTCAAACTTGGGAATAACAGATTGATACCATTCCACCACTTTTGTTACAGCCCTTGCAACAATATCCACTTACGAAAGTAGAGAAGAATAATTGGTATTCAACTCATTAATCTCCTTTGCCATATCAACCTTTAATTCCTCAAGCTTTCGATTCACAATTTCTATAACAGTCTTGACATCCTGAACGAAGAGAATATGTCGTTCCTTCGCAACCATTTTCAGCTCCTTGATCTCACTATTGAAAGTGTCAGATTGAGCTTTGACTCGGAGCTCATTGTTTTTATCCATTACATCCAGCTTGTGTTGAAGTCGAAGCTCCTGAGCTTTTAGCATGACATCGACTTCAATTCCAGATACAAAGTGTTTGCTTCCTGCATCTGCTTGTGACTGCAATAAAGAATTAAGCTTCCTGTTGAGAATTTTGAATTGTTTGCCCGACATAAGCATATGATATGGGATTTCTTCTTCTTCAGGATCA